GAATTATAGCGGTAATCCGAAGCGCGAATCAAAGACGGTTAGTAATAATTACCTGGCAACACTAAACGCCATATTTTCGTGATGAACTCGCACAAAAAAACTTGATGGAACATCATTACGATCGTTGCTTTGAACCAACAAAAAAACGAGATTCAACGACGGCGCTAAGGAATAATAAATGAAAATGTGTGTCAACAGTTCGGGTTCGGTAATCTCTGTGTGTGTAAAACACCTGTTCTTGTACGAAATATATAACTGTTTAAGAATTATTTCACATAAGTCATCATCGAACATCTTAGAGGTCCTCTAACGTATAGTTGTAGCAATGGTTATACTATGTCGTTGTCGGTGTAGTGGTTGAACCATTAGCCAGACCTCTGCAGAGCACTGTGGCGGTATTGATACACACGTCTACTACAGTCGTCGTTATATCTCATAGGTAGATATTAGTTAAAATTGTCTATCTGTTATTTGTGAAATATCATTATTATTTTATATTATAGGTAGCTGATTCGTTTAAAGCCATTCGAAAAATAAGCAAATAATGGTCGCGTACCGTTTTCTTTCTTGTCACACGTGACATTTTAAACTATATAAATATTTACCTTTTTTTTTCGCGTCAATTCGTGACGGTGCTCGGGGAAATATACCCAGGTAGGTACTCAATAATATTCAATTTGATAGATTAATAAATCTGTTCGTAATAATATGTCGCGGTGCCAGTTCATTATTATACCCTGCCAGCGGTGTATACCTACATAAAGTGTAAGTTATGCATACATAATAACACATTATTACAATATGGTAATTAACAACCATTTTATTTATAATTATTTTTAGTAGAACATAGTTTTAAATTTCGTTCCACCCCGAGCATACTACACTGTGCTCCGTTGTACTGCTGTTGCCGTGTCGTTCGAGACTACACGACCCTTATAATAAATGCTCGTGCACTGTCGACGGTGACAATTTTTATAACGCCCTAAATTCAAAATAACGATCTCGTCTGCACATTAGTTTTCCCAGACCGTGGCAATACAGCAAAGATAGCCGTTTATGGTTTTGCTACGCGCGATATTATTATACAGTCAACACGATATCGTTGTGTTTTTCTCTTTTACATGCTACGAGAGCAAATTTATCGATTTTATTATGAGACATTTCCCAAAGCACACTAAAATAGATTCGTCGTACCAGACTAAAGTCGATTTTTTTTTTTTTTATGCATATATTTCGTTGAATTACAAATAAAATCAAAGTGCTATAAATTCAATATAATGACGTCTCACTCGTAATAAATGTACAACAGTTATTATTTTAAATCGTATTCAAATTCCATAATTAAGACCGTTTTAGAATTTATTGAGAAAATGACATCAATATTGACTATACTATATGATATTATTATGATTTGCTGTATCACTTCTGTCAACGAATATGGTATAAATATAAATATGTATACTAGTATGCATTTGTTGATGCATTTTAATATTATACTGGAATATTATATTACAACGATTTGAAATTTGTATTATAACTATTATTATTATTATTATTATTATTATTATTATTATTACAATCATTTATGATTGTATTAAAACTGTTGTATTATGAAAACAAAAAAATGACTTTACAAAAGAACTCTTTTTTACGTCAAATGCATAAAGTACGGCACTAATTTCCTACTTTACATTCTCTTTAATCTATAATGTCTAATATAAACGAAAACATTATTATACTTTGTTATCGTTGTACAAACAATTTCATGTATGTACATCGTATTTGGAGTATATGAAAATGCTGAAACAAAAATTATTTTAACCTCTTTTAATTTAAATATAAATAATACCTGAACAAAAAAAAGTTAAAAATTAAAGACTTAAAAGAATTTAAATGTTGTACATAGAATCACGATATAAACAGAACTCATTTGGATTGCAAAAAATTAAAAATGAATACATAGTTTTTCAATCAACGAAAGAAGAAAAACAACATATATGTTTGACAAAATGAATATTTGCATTATTATACTCACTTACCCTCATTATAATGATTTTGAGTAAAAACTAATAACACAGTTTACTTCTGACATTGAATTTTTTTAGTTGTTTATATCAAAATGTGTAAGTATAGTATATAATGCAACCATGACGCAACTACACAAGTATTCATAATTGTCTGATAAAATATTAATCTCGTTAATAATAAATATTTTGGTGTATTTTGGAAAATTTTAATATTAAACATTCAGTAAAAATAATTAGGTTTATTATTTTTATATGTCACACTATTGCATACATGATAACCTGCACGATATTGTATTAATGTATGTTTAAAAATACCTACATTGTTTAGCTTTTAAAAACATGGTATAAAGTTAATTCTATAATTAAAATAATTAAATTTAGTGCTACAACATCTAATTTGCATTAATATTGTTAAAGTAAGCAACCTCTATCACATTCTGTGAGTGCAATTTATTAGTATAGTGGATAAAATAAATATGTAAAATTAATTTAGATTTGAATAAAAATAAAAATTATAAAATATTATAATTATCGGAAAAGAGTTGGAGTAAAAATTTATATGTAATTCAAAACAGTTATATTTGTTGCCAAAATATCAATATAACCTGTGTACCAGGTAATTTTTTTTCCTTCATCTATACCAGATGACCACCTTACTGTAACTAATACCTTATACCGTTGAGTATGTTTACTACAATTATTTTTGTATTTAAACGTGTTTTAACGCTTTAAAAGTTAAGATTGTTAGTATCAATGTGCACACAATAATTATTAGCTAATTAACACAAATAATTCATAATAATACATAGAAAAAAAACCAAATTAACCAACTAATTGTTTATGATTATTCTTAGTTACTACAATGTTATAGATCATTAAAAATGTTACATACAGATGGAATCAATTATTTTTAAAGATAGATCTTCATTGAGCATCTTCAATATTTCATGGAAAGTTCAAAGTTAAAGGTGTAAAAATGAATCTTAGGGATTCTTCAAAATTATATTTAAAAGCTTGGTAGGGGTCCCTATTTCATATTGATGAAATGGCTTTGATTATAAGAAATGAGTGGGTTATCAAAGCAGATACAATTATTGTTTGATCATGATAATATCTTGATTTTTTACGTTTGCTGAGCAAAGGAGATGCATATTATTTTCTTAAACAAATCTTAACAAATCTTTAACAGTTTTAAGTTTATTGATAAGTTGAATAAAATCACAAGAACCTATTTTTAAAAAGAAAGAATTTTGTTACTGATATATATAAATATGTCATCTTATCATTCGTTTGTATAGAACATTTTGGGATAGTTTGGTACCTGTTAGCTGTTGCATTAGCTGTTCAATTTCCTTTTGTCCTGATTGAAATGTATCTAGATGAATTTAATGTGCCTGTGTGTGTTTATTAATTATTTTGAAATATTTCATTGTCAGAATAATATTTTTTGGGTGCTGATAGAAATATTAATACATCGGATTACTGTAGTTATAGTTGCCTAGTCTAATTTCATAAAGTATGGCGTGATAATGAATATGATAAAAATATAATATTACAGTTCCAAACTTATAAGAAAGAGTTTGTATTCGATAGTAGTCTTGTCTATGACACAACCCACCAAGTCTTCTCCTAATTTATACTTGGGAGTGTCAGTTAATATTTCGATATTATAACAAAATGTAATTGTAATAAAGCCATGGAAGTATGCATTTTAAGTGTTTATTAATATATTGAATATTTTTTATACCTAACATACATTTTGAATCCGTGATTTAAACAATTGAGAACACATATAATATAAATCAGAAGAGAGATTCGGCCCCATTGCTTCCTCTCCCTAAGGGCTTTGTCTTGGAACAAGGCCTGATGACAACTTGATCTGCATTCGTGTACAAACACAGAGGTCACAGGTCCATCCCTCCAACCCCACACTTCGACCAATAACACGTGATTCAACTCCATGGTTTTATTTTAATATACTCTGTATCAGACATGTGTAATTTAGTGTCAGTTATTCAAAACGATTTCCTTTATTACGGAGTGTGTTTTCTTAAGATTTGGATAAAGATTCTGAGCTTATGTGTGTATTGTTTAAATTTCACATTGGTTTTATAATTGCAATATGGGTTTATGAATATGAATTTGTATATTTTCCATCTTGATTGTCTAATATGATTTTGCTTTGAACTACCCTGTTTTTACAAAAGGTTGATGTATGTTCGGTACTTAATAATTGCAGGTTAATGTATCGTTTGTCAGAAATATAAAATATTCAGCGTTGTCAAAATTAGTAAGTATTAAGTTTTGTAATTTTAGAACATATTAATATAATATAATTGTCTTATATGGGATACTTATCTTCTGTCAAAAATTATGATTTAAGAAATGTCATTAGTATTAGAATATTAATTAGCGGATCGTTGATACATGTGTGAACTATTATAATAAATCGGTTATAAATTTACAACATTCTCCATTCCGATTGGTTCAGCAGTTTACTGATAATATGTTGGGTATACTATGTTGTGGTTGTATTCAGTGATTGTTAGGTATTGGATTATGTCGTTGACTATATATTTTTTTAGAAAAATAAAATGAAAACGATATTTGGATATTCTGGATGCAACGTAATTGTCTGATGGGTTTGTGATTGTGCTTAAAACTTTAAATTATTAAATTAGTGAAATATTGTCCACAGTATTGAAAATAATAGCTTGATGTTCATCGAAAAAGATAAATGAGGAGTAGTTTTGATGAATGTTTTTGAATTTTGTTATCGTTCTGTTGCTGGATGTTGGTTTTAGTTTGAATACCTAGTAAAACTATTTTTAAGTTGAATTGGGGTTTGGTTTTTATAGTAGGCTCCTACGTTTGATATTTTTACCACGTAGAAAATTATAAGCGAACGAATTTTTACCAATACGCCAAAGTTTATACATTTTAAAGAAGAATTTAAAATTCAAAACAACTCACTGTTTGTCTGTGACCGAGTTGTTGAAGAGGGTGAGTCTAGGTACAGGGTAAACGCCAGAGACCATGCAAGTTACACGTATAGTATCGTTATTGACTCTCTTCTGATATACGTCAAACTTCTTCTCCGGAGCTGAAAAAAAAAACCAAAACAAAATTACTTAGTAACTCTGGTAAATACAATATAGTGGAGCGTTGGGTTAGGTTGGTATGGAAGCCATATTCAAAAATAAATAAACAAAAATATCCTAATCACATGAACGAGGTCTGAATAATAATTACAAACTTTAAAAAAAAAACGTAAGGTTAATACTCGGAACGAGCTTAATCCGAACACGAGAAACGTAATCGGCACACAGAGGTAGCTCAACGGTTAAGCTCTCTGCCCTCGAGACTGTGTGTGTGTGTGTTTGTGTATAGGGTAACTCACCAAGCCCACTCACTCCCTTTTACCGTTTAATAATGCATTTATTAAAATTAAACTTGAATTGTTATTGTTATTTAAGAAGGTTTTGTGGAATACAATCTTATTTTTTCTGAATGAGAAAAACTTCTTTTTATTGCACATTGTTAGATGAGTATATTTAAAGTATTGATGTAATCATATAAATTAGAATTAGAACTAGTTATTGAACCACATGTACCTACCTACTGGCTACTACGATGGATGATGATCCAAGATGTTCCTACGAGATTTAAAAGTATGATAGTTTGCAGATCATAGTAGATAACTTATTTTAAACTAATATCATTTTAATTTTGATGAAATTATATTTTCTAATCTGAATATCATATTTATTTCATATTTGATGTAAGCCATTGTAAAGAGGAAGGATACAGATAAATAACTCAGTAACTAGGTACTATGTTTCACTCCAATACACTTCTTAATGGCATAATAAATGTAAGAAAATTAAAATCTTGTGTTCATGTTTAGTTAAAATTGTCAAAGCATAAAATGTGCATACTTGAAAATAAATAGTTATGAACCACCCTGTATATAACGTTATACGACCGCTTATTTGTCGTATAGTCTTCTTTTTTTTTACAAGGTTCATGATATTCCGCCTATTAGATTTTTCATTAAAATAATAACGTCACTGGGAACGACCGTGTTTACGTCCTTGGTTATTAACTGCTTTTTTCTCTTTTTTTTCGGAAAATTAGCTCGGGGAGGTCCTATGCCCCAGCGGTGACCGGTATCGAGGAGGGAACGGGGTCTGTGTTAAGGGTTGGCTGGTGTCTCACTATAAACATAAAGGGCTAACGACTTCGCAGTCGTGTAGTTTCGCATTGCGCACGTGTACGCGAGTCTAAGCGTACACATATTGTACAATATATTTTTGTATTATATAAACGAATGCATGTGCGTCTGTCCATATACCGTTATCACTCCGCATCGTTCCGTATTTGTATCTCTTTCACTCACTCGTCTTCTTCGTTTTCCTTCTCTCCCACAATCCCGTTAGAAGACGATACTCGTCGGCGTGGCAAACGCGTTTTTTTGGCAACCGTCCAAATACGCACCGCATGTATACCACCCGTTGCAGCTGTGTATACCGCCACCGTGCTTGCAATACGATATGCAAATATAATGGAAACCCAGTGGTCCGCAGAAGCGCGGAGTAGCAGTGTGGGCACTGCAGTACTTTACACTTTTGGCAGCTACGTAATTTTTATCCCTCTTCCAACTCCCCCCCCCCCCCAAACCACCCACTCACCCATCGCAGGGTTATTACTCGAAAAAACTGACTACGGTAACGTTTTGCAATACGACGGTCGTGCCACTCGTTTTACATCGATATTATTACCTCCGGGGGTGGATCCATTATGGGAGTGGGCAATCGAGTCAAGATATGCCTAAGATTCTCTATCTTTAATACTTTTTCTAAGATACCAATACCTATCTGGTAATTTTTGTGATGATTTATAAAAAAAAAGAGTGCAACACTCAAGACGTGTCTATAACGTATTGTTAGAATACTTAAATATATATATACAAATATATATATTTATATATATATATATATATTTAAGTAGTACATGGAAATAAAATCAATAGAAAAAAAACCCGAAATGGTAATATAATACAAAATACGCAATGTAATTTCAGTATAAATACAGAACATAATATTCAATCTATTTGCAGTGATATCAATATCATTCGTTGGTGTTATGTACAGACCTAAAATTCACGTTAATAAACGTGAAAAAAAGTGGACAAGTAGGTAAATGCTTTGCTGTACAATATATAACCATTTTTTTTTTAAGGTCACTGCAATGTGTTGAATTCGAGCTCAATGATAAATTATTGTATACGGAAAAAGATTTTGAGTCGAGAGCAAATCGACACAATATAATGTTTTAGAATTACAACAAACTTACTAACAGTGTATTATAGCTTGCGTTAAATATAATCCATAACTTTTATAAATATACTGTCTTGTTTAGGTACTGCACCCAAAACCTTAAGTAAGTACCGATGTTTTAAATTTTTCAAAATAAATAAAATGTGTTTTTACGTCTAGTTGCAGGAGTTTTATTAGTTGGTTGTATTTTATTTTTTGTTTGGAATTTTTTCCGTCATTCGTCTTAAGTTTATCTTATTTTTATCAGTCCAACAGGGAGGACTAGATATGCCGCTAATTATATATAGTGAACGAAAATGGTGCCCAACAACAGTGACACAGCTGAAAAAAAGTAGATTTTTCAGTTCAGCCACTTAAAGAATTAATTATTGAGTTATGACGTTAATTATATTCGCACTATATTGATATTTTCATCGCGATCATAGTAACAAACTTGCGATTATGAGATGAGAGAAGAACTGCTCAACGGATAAACTGTGGTTATTTTTAGAATTATTGAGAAAGCCGTTTTTTCATTCGGGTATACTTCGCTTTAAATTTTCATAATACTATGGAAAATTCTGCATGATTTTTGAATTGTGTCACTATTCTTGTGCACACAGACGAATCACGGGTCTCGCGGCGTCTAGTATCGAATCGTTCGAAAATCATATCAGATTCAAATCGAAGTCAAGGCAATGCGCACGACGGATCAAGACCACCGCAAACGATTGCACGCGATGCATGGTATATTATGTTAATTTGTATTCGCTTGCATATTATGCATAAAAAAATATTGCAACGCGCACGCACACTGCACATCGCATCCCGTACATATTAAACAGTGATTTTCGACCAGATTTTCATTTACATACTACTTCGCACGCACGCGTGGTTACGAAATATACTAATTGTACACTATATACATGCACACAAACGTACGCGTGTGCATAAGCATACCCACACACGGACGTACACGTCATAATGTACGTACGTATATTTGCACTTGTTTATATATTTTTGTGTGCGCACAGACGTTTATGTATACACGGAGTGTGCCGCCGAGTTTTTCATTTTCCCACAGGAAAGCGGTGAAAACGCGTTGGCCCACGCTGTTTATAATAATAATAACAACAACAATATATATATATATATATATGATATGTATAAATAATAATATAATATTGCGCAATGGTGGTCGGTCTCCGCCGCGTCGCAGCGTTGAAAAATAAATAAATAGAGTCGGCGAATGATATTTATTCATATAAAAGATATGATTATTTATAAATGGAGTACAACATATTATATATAATACGTTTAAAGTTTGTTATTTGTATTTGTCCGTGTTTACTCGCCGAGTACGGTACACATTGAATTGAACAGCACCGAAACGTTAGGCGCCGTTTATATCTATCCATATACATTATAAATATATATATATATGTATATAATATTAGGTTTATGTTTATACCGACCGACGGTCGATCACGCAAAAATATTATACCGAGAAACGGAAAATTTGTATATTATAATATGTTTTGGAGTTGTTCAGTGTAGTGCAGACTGTAGATTATGTTGCATTTATCGTCGTTATTATTGTTAAATAATAACATGTTATTATGTACGAGGAGGAGCCCCGCCATGGCATTATTATATTGAATTCGGAGCACTTTTCCCAACGTTTTGTATTGTTTATTTTTTTCAATAATATAATGTTAAACATGAAAATAAGCTTATTACTTATGTTTTATCGGTAGAACGTATACGAGAAAACGATAATCGAACAACACTGGCGGTAGTCGGCGAGGCAAATTAAAATTTATAACGTCGGTTCGGCCCACAAGTTTTTCTCTGTATTTTTTCTCGCCCGAATATATAGGATTACCGATCAATACATTACACTTTTCCAAATTGATATTACTTTTAGCCGAACCACGGAGTTCTTAAGTTTAAAACGTTCATAAATTATTTCGTTTGTTCGGAATGGGAATATGGGATGAAATTGATAATATCGTTAGGTATTATACGGACGCTCGGTATATAGCGACGAGCGGCGGCGGCAAATGCGGGAAGTTTTAAGAACAACGCGAGAGAGTTCAGGGGAGAGTCATCATAAACTACTTTGGAGGACGTAAAATAATGTAAACTATTTTTTTCCCAAGGTTTTCAAATTTAAGTACGTTTTTGCCGGCTACTGGGAACTTTTCCTGGACGCATAATTTACCCTCCGAGCTTCTGGTCCGTGGCCGCCCTCTCTCCGGGTCGCGAGTTAGCACGCGTGGTATAGGCCGCGGAGTATGCGGGGAGGGGGGCACGAAAAACAAATGGTGCTGTCCACGAAATGTCACCGTGAAAAAAAAAAAGTGAAAAATAAAGGACTTCGAACGAGTGCATTGCATGACAAATAGGCCGGAGAGTAACTTTGTCGATTTCGTTCGCACTAAATTTAAACGCAACAAAACGACCGTAAAGCGTCACGACACGTAATTTTTTTCCAACAGCCCAAATTGCGTAGGGGGATCCCGCAGCCCCTCCGCATCCCCCGCCCGTTGTCATTATTTATTTATTACGTCAGACCAACCTTCATTACAGGAGCACTATTATAATATATTACATACATATGTGCACGTATATATATATTGCAATACAAATGGGTGTAAGGCGGTTGGGTCGGGCTACGAAAAACCGTCACCGGCGAAGGGTGAGAAAAATACGACGGTCGCCAGAAACCAATATAACCTATACCAGTATACCACTACTTATAACTTCACTTTAATTATAATGT